AGGAGTTGCCCATAAAGATTTGTTCACCATTATCCACTGTAGAATAAGATCTGAATATCTTTTTGTCGGCACAGATATGGCGAGTAGCACCAGTGTCTACCCACCATTCTTTAGGATTTTCGACAAGATTTGCCTCGGAAACAACTGCAGAAAGATTGATGTCATCGACACCATTGGAAATATTTTCCACTTCGGTCATATAGGCTTGAGCAGGCTTCTTGCTTGTTCTTCTTTTGCTTTTGCCTTTGCTACGACAATTTTTGGCCCGATGTCCCTCTTTGTCATAAATGTAACATTTGCCATTAAACTTGTACTTTTTATTTCCCCCCCTTTAGAGTCTTGTGATGAACTTTCTCCAAAAGACTTTCGTTTCTTGGTTTTTGAAGCATTTTCCACCACATTTGCCTTAGACTCCATAGGAAGCTTACCAGCCCGCTTTTCAGAATTGCGGTTGTCCTCCTCAATCCTCAAACGCACAATCAACTCGTCCATAGAAATTTCTTTGCGCTTGTGTTTGAGGTAGTTCTTGAATTCCTTCCAGCCTTTTGGTAATTTTTCAATTAAGGCTGCAACTTAGAAGGATTCACTGAGAGACATACCTTCTGCGTGAATGTCATGCAGAATGAGTTGGAAATCTTGAGCTTGGCTGATCACAGTTTTTGAATCAACCATTACAAAATCCAAGAATCTGCCAACCACAAATTTCTTTGAGCCGGCATCTTCCGTTTTGTACTTTTTCTCCAACGATTCCCAAAGTTCCTTTGCTATCTTGATTGGACTGTAGACGTTGTATAATGTGTTGTTAAGTCTGTTCAAGATGTAATTCCGGCAAAGAAAATCGGCATGTTTCCAGGCATCAACCGCAACAACCACTTGACGGTCAGTTTCATCCTCTTTCAGGATAAGAGCTTCTTCACGGAGAAAACGAGTCAGGTTCAGAGTTGTAAGATAAAACAACATTTTCTGCTGCCATCTTTTAAAGTCAGTTCCTAAGAACTTCTTTGGCTTTTCACCGTGATTTACCGATACTATTACAACAGGAGAGGGGGTTGGCGTCATTGCAGCCACCACAGTAGTACTTGTTTGGGCATTAGTTTCAGTAGCCATCAATTCTAATATATAAAACAAAATTATAATTAGAATTTATACTACACAGAAAATTAAACCAAATTCACAGAATTAAATTCCGTAAAAATAAAAGAAACAAGAATGTAACTTTTATTTTCCAATTAATTTGAAAATAAAATAAAATTTTATTTAAACAAATTAATTCCACACAGAAAATTAAATTCTGTAAAATAAAAGAAATAAAAACTATAACTTTTATTTTTCAATTAAATTGGAAATAAAATAAAATTTTATTTAACCAAAATAATTCCACACAAGAAATTAATTTCAGTAACACTTCAATAATTAAAACACTGAAACAGAATTTTAATTAATGAAAACTCAGAAAATAATTTGTAAAACCCAAAATTAATTTCTGAAAAAATTCCACAAAAATATATTCTGAATTGTTAATGACACCAGTATCGTACTACTAGTTGTTGTCAAAGAAAAGAGACAGTATATTACTACTATCTGTCAAATAGCATATAATCACTATTTGTTTTTCCAACCAGAATATTATTTTGTAAATCCACAGAAAATAATTTTCTTCCGAAATTATTTACGAAGAATGAAAAAAGTTGGAAAATGGTTTTATATAGGCATAATTTTGAATTCGAATATGGTGGGCCCCAAACGTCTTTTGGGGTGGGTCCGAAGAGGTGAAGACGGAACGTCAATGTTTGAATTTATTTCTAGTTATTTTATTTACACAGAAGATTGTTCCAACAATCTTAAGACAGATTCGAATTATTCTGTTTACAAAATTTTTCGTTTGTTTTCCTTTTTCATTCTTCGTAAATAATTTCGGAAGAAAATTATTTTCTGTGGATTTACAAAATAATATTCTGGTTGGAAAAACAAATAGTGATTATATGCTATTTGACAGATAGTAGTAATATACTCCCCCTTTTAGGAAGTTTGGTCCTCCAAACTTAACTTACCTTTGTCGGGAAACAAATGTGGATAGCGTAGACGCATTTTCTCCTCTTTTTCCCATGTAGCATCTGTCCCATAGTGTTCCTTCCATTCCACTTTCACCATTGGAATGGATCTGTTTCTCAATTCTTTTACTTGTCGGTCAACAATTCTTTCCGGCCATTCAGCATATTCCATATTTTCATCAATAGCAATCCGGTGATAATCAATCACATGCAACGGGTCTCGGAGGTAACCCCTCAACATCGACACATGAAACACGTTATGGATTTGCTGGAATCCCGGTGGCAAAGCAACTCTATAAGCAACTGGACCAAGTTTCTCCAAAATTTGAAACGGCCCAATATAACGGGGCGTCAACTAAACCTGACTTGGCCTTTCATTGGAGAAACACGGATGAACACATGGTCGCCGACCTCATACTCAAGAGGTCTTCTCCGGACATCTGCATAACTCTTCTGTCGGTCTTGAGCTGTTTTGAGCCTTTGTCGAATAGTTTTGATCTTTTCAGAGGTGTCTTGTACAATTTCAGGCCCGAGCAAAGCTCTGTCCCCGACCTCTGTCCAACAAATAGGTGATCTACACCTCCTACCATACAAAGCCTCGTATGGTGCCATACCGATGCTGGAGTGGAAGCTGTTATTATAAGCAAACTCTGCAAGCGGCAAATAGTCTTCCCAACTCCCATGAAAATCCAAAGCACACATGCGAAGCATATCTTCCAAAGTTTGTATCGTTCGTTCTGACTGGCCATCCGTCTGTGGGTGGAAGGCAGTACTGAACCTTAGTTATGTTCCCATAGCTTCCTGCAAACTTTTCCACAATCTAGATACAAATTTCGGGTCCCTATCTGACACAATGGACACTGGAACTCCGTGTAACCGGATAATTTCGTCAACATAAATAGTAGCCAATCTGTAAGCAGTAAATGTAGTTTTGACAGGCAGAAAATGTGCAGATTTAGTCAGTCTATCAACTACAACCCAGACAGAATCCATACCTCGGGAAGTCCGAGGTAGGCCAACAACGAAATCCATAGTCACATGTTTCCACTTCCACTCAGGAATAGAGAGTGGTTGAAGTAGACCGCCTAGTTTCTGATGTTCAGCCTTAACTTGCTGACGCTGAAGGCACTTGGACACATATTCTGCAATCTCTTTCTTCATTTTAGGCCACCAGTAGGTTTGTTTCAAATCCCGATACATTTTATTGTTACCCGGATGCATAGCAAATACAGATCTGTGGGTTTCATCTAAAACCCTCTTCCTTAGCTCCGGAATATCTGGGACACATATTCGGTTTCGAAATTTCAACATTCCATTCTCGACACTGAACTCTGCTTTTCGGCTCACTTCAAATTCATCAATGACCTTTCTGAGGAACTCATCTTCCTTCTGTTTCTGCTTGATTTCATCAACAATCGCCGGTTCGGCTGTAATAGCGGCTATCAATCCGCCCTGTTCACATACCACTACCTCAATTTCAGACTTCTCAAAGTCTTACAAAATCTCCCTTTGTTCAGTAAGCAAATAAGCCATACTCCCTGTTGATTTTTTGCTCAAGGCATCAGCCACTGTATTAGCTTTCCCGGGGTGATACTGAATTTCTAGGTTGTAATCTTTTATCAATTCTAGCCATCTCCTCTAACGCATATTCAACTCTTTCTGCGTGAAGAAGTATTTTAGGCTCTTATGATCTGTGTAGACTTCACACTTTGCCCCATACAGATAATGCCGCTAGATTTTCAGAGCAAAAACCACTGCGGCCAGTTCTAGGTCATGTGTTGGGTAATTCTTCTCGTGCGGTCTCAATTGCCGAGAGGCGTAAGCAATAAACTTCCCGTTCTGCATTAACACACAACCCAAACCCTTATAAGATGCATCACTGAAAATCACAAAATTTTCCGTACCTGAAGGTAGTGTCAAAATCGGTGCGGTAGTCAATCTCGTCTTCAATTCATGAAAGGCTGATTCTCTTTCACCATTCCACTCAAATGGTTGTCCTTTACGTGTCAATTGGATAAGAGGCACAGCTAATTTCGAAAAGTCCTTTACAAATCTCCTATAGTACCCAGCTAAGCCCATGAAACTGCGAACTTTTGTTACGTTGGTCGGTGTAGGCCAATTCACGATTGCCTCTATTTTCTGTGGGTCCACTGAAATTCCTTCCTTATTGATCACATGCCCTAAGAAAACAACCTCATCCAACCAAAACTCACATTTCTTTAGTTTAGCAAATAATTTCCTTTCCCGAAGTATTTGTAAAACAGTCCTCAAATGATGTTCATGTTCAAGTCTATCTTTAGAGTATATCAAAATATCATCGATGAAGACAACAACAAACTCATCAAGGTAGGTTTTAAAAATTCTATTCATTAAGTCCATAAATGCTGCCGGAGCATTAGTCACTCCAAATGGCATAACAAGAAACTCAAAATGACCATACCTCGTTCTGAATGCGGTTTTCTCAACATCTTCTGCCTTAACCTTCAGCTGATGATACCCGGATCTCAAATCAATCTTAGATTATGGTAAATCTGTCCATGTGTTCATAATTTTATCTTCATAGACTGTCATTATGGAGGAGCTTGTTGCGTTGCATGTGTGTTGGATGTACCCTGTGCATTAAAATTTGTTGGCCAGACATAGCCTTGCCAAGTGTAAGCGTTTCTATATCACTATCAGTCTACTTGCAGCCTTATGTCATTAGCAAATTGTGGCAGGATACGTGATGATATTGAGGAGGATGCCTTCTGAGGTCTATGTGCAATGGTATGCCTATACTTTCTTCATCTTCCAATTAAATTGAGATTAGAAATGTAATCCTAGTTTGGTGTGCAATTGTTAATTTGTGTCAATTTTTTGTTAATATGGGTTTTTTCTTACAATTTCAAATATTTATTTGTTAGTAAGGCATATATTTAGTTGCAAGTGCTTGCTTACTTTGCAGGTTTCTCCCTGGCATGATATACCATTACACTTGGGTGATGGTGTTTTTAATTTCATTGTTGAAATACCCAAAGAAACAAGTGCAAAGATGGAGGTTGCTACTAACGAGTCATACACTCCCATAAAGCAAGATACAAAGAAAGGAAAACTTCGATATTATCCGTAAGAAGTGCCATTTTACCTTCACTTTTCCTTTCCCCTTCTTTTCTTGTTTCACAACTTCTTCATGCATAGTTTTGTTGTTCCATAAGGGCTTGAATCAGGCACTGTTGTTCGTTTTCATGTATAAGCATCTGTTTAAGCTATCAGACAGACTGCTCAATTTTCTCGCTGATGCATGTCCAACTAAGCATCTAAATACGTTTTCATTTGTTGGGAGTTGAGTATTACTAGTCTCATATGGGAATTTGGAATATAGAATTCATCCATATTGATAATCCTAGTGCCCTCATGCTATTTCTGTTAAACTTTACCTAGTGATGTTTGCTTCTCTGAGGGTGATTTGTGGCATTTCTATCAAATGGCAAGCACCCTTGCCTATAGGCTTCATATATGTTGAGTAATGTTGTTCGTACATGGTCCTTTAATTGTAATCCGATTTTGGCGTAAAAAAATATTTCTTAATGTGAATGGATCAAGAAGATGGAAATGGTGGATATCTGTAGACACCCCATTTTTGACCGACCTTAAGACTCAGACGTCACTAGTTGAGCGCTCGGTGATACTGCATATTATGCTCGTTTAGAAGTCTCAGAGTCGCGGCCGTGAGCCCTGCCTCCGGACTTCCGAACCCTCTTTTGTGCCTTGCCTCGGTTTGCGAACCAGACTCGGTTTTCTCTGTTTCTTTTCCTGAGGGGAGGGAGAGGTCCCATAGACCATCTCTCAGTGGTTGTAGGCTACGTTTTGTGGCTGTAGGCCATTTTGCCCATTTCGGAGCCCGGTTCCCGATTTTTCGGAGCCGTCAGGCCGTGTGCCTCGGTTCGGGACCGCTTAACCATCTCCTATTGCTCCGGTTTTTGGTGTACTTCTTATTTACTCCCTTTTGAGGGACACTGAGGCCCGAGAGACCCACTTCGTGGTCGAATGCCACTTTCGGTGCTTAACAGGCAGTTTTCGGGGCCTCGAACTGCGTGTTCTGGCCCCCGAACATTCGTTTTGCATCGGTTTTCGTTCATTTTTGGCAGGTACCTTTGTTTCATCCCTAGGAAGGCCGTAGAAGGGTGGGAGGCCAGCAATTATTTCAGCAACCAGTTCTATATCCTCCGGCGCCCTCCGACGCCCGTTTTTCTCACTTCCAAGTCAATGTTGAACACTCTTGGGCCATTTTCTTGAATTTTTAACCACATATTTGTGATGTACACACATGGGAGGACCCTAAAAGTTGGTGGCCGGCCACTAATGTTGCTTGACCCTTTTGAACCCCTCCTAAAAGTGGGTTGTTCTCTCTCCTGGGTCACTTTTTCCAGTGTTTGACCACATGGTTGTGTTGTACACACATGGGAGGACACCAATATCATATGGTCGGCTACTAATTCTCATTGACCTTTTTGACCCTTGGCCGGCCGGCCAGCCACCTGCAGCTGAGATAACTAGCCGGCCTTGATCCTTGCCCCCTGCTTAGTTCAAAACTGGCCTTTTTTCCCCCCAAAAACCTGTATCCGGGGGACAACCTTTTGGGGGGGAAACTTGATCCATTTCCCCCCCACTTTTTCCCTCCATTTTCCCCTCATTTTGGGCTATATACCTGGCCTCCAGCTCTGTCCCAAGGGTTAGAAAAAATTCCCTCAAGCCCTTTGCATGGGATCTCTCTCCCTCTCCATCTCCAAGCTTCCATACTCCCAACCCTACACCATTTTACATTACACCACGAACCCCCACCCTTCCCTCCTTCATTCCAGCAGCTGGAGGCTGTTCTTCAAAGCCTAAGGAGCCACAAACTCAAGCCAAGAAGCTATCAAAGTTTGGTCTTCAAGGGTGAGTACCAATTCCCTCTTTTTGAGCTTAATTTTGCAACATTTGTTTAGCTATTTTTCTTGCTGTTTTGAGATCCGACCAAAACTGAAAGTACCCTTTATTTGAGCTCTATTTCATGTTTCATTAAGGGAATTTTGGCATTTGAGGTCCCTATCTTACACTTGCTTCATTATCCTTCTTATATACCGTAATCTTGCATAGTATTTTTGGCCTGTGTGTGATCTGTTTTGGAGCATGGTGTAAACTGTAGATAGGCTTATTTTGAGCCCCTCTTAAACATTGAAGAAGGGCTCATTACTTTTTGGGACCTCCATGTGCCACTTGTCATTATATCCCTCTTTGGTCCTCATTTTTGCATGATCTATTAGCCTATTATGCTTCTGTTTTTGGTCATTTTACAGAACTGAAAACAGTCTTATTTTGACCCCATATTCATGTTTCATTAAGGGTCTTTGGCTGTTTGATGAATGTTTTGTATACTTTGTGTTTTGACCTCTTTTGGGCCCTATCTTGCATGGCATTTTGAGCATACTGATATACTGATTTAGGCTTGTCCATCAACTGTAAAATATCATATTTTTGGCCCCTCTTCAACATTGTTGAAGGGTCCTAATCTGTTTGAGGTCTGTAGCTGTGAGTTACTTCTTTATCTCACAGTGTTTTAGAAGAGTCCTTTTTCTGTTTGCGGCTTTTGCATCTACCACTTGCTTCATTGCCTCCCTGCGGAGCCACTTTTTGTATGATAAATTTAGTCTCATTTGTGCTTACTGTTTGCCATGCTTTGAACTGTAAAATGCTTATCTAGGGCTTCCTTGATTCTGTCTTTTCATGCTCATGTCAAATTGTGCATAGCATTGCATAGCTAATAGGCCATTTCATGCGCCAAAATTCATGTTTTCGGGGATTGTTCATGCACTCGGGTATAATTTCACTTTGTTTTCGGGGGCTGTTTTTCCCCCGTTGTTTTTGCTTACTGATTTTTGCACTGGTTGCATACTATAATATTCCATGTTTTGCCATGTCTCATTAGAGTGGCATTCTCGGTGCTTGAACGGTCGGTTCTCGGTTTGCGCGTGCCACGCAGTGCACGCATTTCGAGTTGTCTTTGTTTTCATCTTGAGGCCCTCCTATGTGAGTTGGCTGAGGCTCCCTCATGTTGGTGTAAGCCCATAATTGCATTGCGTATGCCATTTCATCCATAGCATTGTGCATGCATCGTTGTGTTTACCTCGTTGCAGGTGTATGCATTCGCCATAACAGTTGTGTATGTTAGAGTTATCTTAGTTTGCATTTCATCGCATGTTCACGCATATCTGCATCGTGTTCGGGATAGGGTTAGCCGGGCACGGAAACAAGGTGCCTTCGTACTCCGAGTAGACGGACCGTGTCTCAATTCCCTAGTCACCCGACACTCCGGATCATCCATAATGGAGTTAGGTTCTTCTTTGTGTTTATATGTGCATTTCATTCTACATTGAATTGCACAATTCGACCCCTCGGCCTCATGCATCGATATGCGTCGATTGGTGGCACGAGGATGAGGATGCATATTATCTGTGAAAAATACATTAGCCTTGCCCCTTTCCTGCTCTCTGTTGCAGTAAAATGAAAGATCAGTAACTTTTTGGAGCTTGGCGGCCATTTCAAGAAAATGTGTAAACAAGGCTACATTGGGGCATCGTCATGGATTTCGCGCAAAGGCAACCGCGGCGCATGCATCATTCATCATCCGGAGTGGGGGTCAAGGCCAGTCCCTGGCTTGCATGCCAGTTTATCTTATTTTCTTAGTTTAATTTGAACACATTATTTGGATGTATATTCCTTTATATTCGGGACTTGTATTCTATTTTGACCTCTGTTGCGAGGGCATAATTGTAATAAGTGTGGTGATGTGTGATGTATTGGTCTTCTAACCTACGTCTTTCTTCCTTTTTATTTACCTGCTTATATGTTAGATTAGGGGCATATTTTCATTAGCATACAGTATGACAGCAGGTTTTGCTTCATTTCATCTGTTTTGCATGCACCGGGCTTGGCGCATATACTAACTTGCATTGTATTTCCAATTTCAAAATTGAATCATGTTAGGCTGTGCATTCCATTATGCCCATGTTTAGAATAGCGAGCTTGCTATTAAGTTGATGTTTTTACATGTGTTGCATTTAGGCATTTCTGTATACTTAGGATCATGGCATGATTTTCTATGTAGTTTCTGTTTGGCTTGCGAGTAACTTGGTGAGTTTTATGCTTTAGCATCATTGCATGCGTGTGAGTGGACTACCATGAATAGCCAATGCTTACCATGAGGCTAAGTTGGCTTAATGTGATAATAACTGCCTTGAATGCCTGTGGTGAAGGTTGGGTTACTTGGGGATTGGAAATCTATTCAATGTTTTGTTTTTTTAACCCACTAGATAGTTGGGCAAAACATCTTTTCTAAGCCACTCGAGGGTGGCAAAATCTGCATATTTAAGCCTACTTGCGAGGTTAGCAAACATCTTTCAAAACACAAACATGAATGTTTTTTCTCCAATTCAGGCCGATTCCAAGTCTATACTTTGTATGCTGTGCCCATCACATAGTAAACTAGGCTAATAACCGGAATAAAGAAGCATACAAGTTTTCAAAAATAGATATCATGGGGGGGGGGTTAGAGAGGCCATCCTCTGACCGGTCGCGAGCGGGGGTGCTTCAAAGTGACTTCCCAATCGTACCCAAGTTCCCAGCCGAGGTAACTTTTGGTGATGAGGACACGTGGCCTTTGGCACCGAGTTCAGGGTTTCCTAAATTTTCCCATTAAAAAAACCATCCTAGGTGGGCGACTCTTAATCTGGCCAAAAGCAGTTTTCCCCCATGTTTTGGCACTTCTTTTTCAAAAATCTGTTTCTTCAACGATCTTGCCGGATTTGAGACTCTCATTGGTTCAAGACTTAGAACCGTGACAATTGAGGAAGTCCGTGAGCTGTAGTGACCCAAATGGAACAGACGGGAGCTCGTTCCTCCCGGGGCGTTTCGGGACGTCTACAATATCAGATGCTGAAATCTACATGGGTTTAAAATATATCGCTAGTTTTTATTCCATTGAGCGACTATTTTTAGGCAGTTGGGTAATTGCTTCAAATCCTAATTATCAACTTCGTTTTGAGAGGGAGGTCAATAAGTAGGGCTAGAAGGGCTAGTCCTTAGGGTAATAATTTCCTTTGAAAACCTGAGATATATATCAGTGTCAAAAAGATGAACTGCTTTTAGTGACCTTATGTATTTGCATGCTCTTTATAGAAGTAATTTATTTTCATTTTATCGTTTTAAAACTTTAATATGAGAACTTTTAAGCCACTTGTTTATCCTTTATTCTTTTAAAAATTGATGTTTGCCAATCTCTGGTACTTCTTAGCCACTGTTTGATCTAATCACAAAACCGCTGGAATTCTCTTTTTACATGACTTCTCCATAATTTTCTATATTGGATATTTGAGTTTTCTTAAAGTCTAAGCTCCTGAACTCAATTTTATTTATCTTTCTTAGTTACAATATAAATTGGAATTATGGATTGTTTCCACAAATGTGGAAGAGCCCATCATTTGCAATCTGAGTTGAGGGGCCACTTGGAGATACGATCCAGGTACTATTGAATCATTCATTTTCATTTTATCTCTTAGCTAAGCATTCTCTCTTCTACCAAAAGCAAAAAGAATAAAATAATTTGAATTTTAATATTGCCATTTTTAAATTGTGTTGATGTTGTTGAGATTGGTCAAACCGTGGAAAGATTAGGACGAGTTATGAAGGTCAAGCCATTAGCTGCCTTGGCAATGCTTGATGAAGGGGACTTGAGTGGAAAATAGTTGCATTTCATTGGATGATCAAAGGCTTCACTTGTTAATGATATTGAGACGTGGAAAGCAATTTGCCTGAATGTTTTTGTTGAACAAAGCAATAATTTTATTTAGTTTCTTCTAAAATACAGTAAAAAAAGAGAGTTCTGTAGATATACATTAGCTTTAGACTTTTTGATAACATTCTGTGACATATCATCTCTCTCCATAGTCTTTGTTTGGTCTGTTCCTTCGGGGATGGATTTATAACGTGTTTAACATCTCCTTGTATAATAATAAGCCTACACCAATTAGTGGGGATGAGCATTCGTTGGTTGTCGGAACTTACTCATTGCACAAGAATGTTTAGTTGTTATTTAATAATGGCAATGTGATAATGTGCCATGACCACGAAGAAGGTATGGAATTTTGTAGGACAAATGTAGTCTTGGCAAGCCTAGCAATGTACTGGTTTTTTTATTATATACAATTCTCTGTCTTAAGTACATTTGAGCTATACAACATTTTTCATCCTTTTCTCTCTTTTTATTTATTTATTTTTACATTATCTTACATACGGGCGATGACCAAAATGATTTGGGTGTGAAAAGTCAATATTTTACGGTCGTTGGTTACTCAAAGCCATTAAATTCAAGCCAATGTGATGAAGGTGTGATTTGGATTTCATGTTAGTAATCAGCGGTGCCATATGTACATCTCATTCTGATTACATTGCAATGTTCAGTAATCAGGGCTAAGGTGTTTCTTTTATTAGCAAACTTATGAGTGCCTTGTTAATAGAAAATATAAGTTACATAGGTTTGCTTAAAAATTAATTTGGCAGCTATTGGTAATTTAATTGTTGTGCATAATATGTCATGGGCTGACTGGGTAACTTTCTTCCAGGGCACTCTTCACTGCAGTCGAGAGACTGGTTCAGAGACACAGATCCCTGATTAGAAAACCTGCAAAAATTATGAACTATAGGCAGCAAACAGGTATTATATTTCTATGCTTTCAATCAATCTACTTGTATAATGCAGTTTCTGACCATCTTGAATTGGTGTTTGATTTAGAAATTGTATGTCATAGCAGGCCATAAGTACATAACACATAGAAATTTATGTGCATGAACATATTCATTTGGCTCATGAATTTTAGTACTTGTCAACCACTGGAAATGGACTTGAATCAAGGAAATCAAATTCTTCTCTTTCTATCCTCAATGAGTTATGCGTTCTATATCTTTCTTCAGCGTGTTCGGCACTTAGACTGTCCCGATTGGTGTTTCACCAGGTAATCGTGGGTGCGATCTCGTCTCTTAACATTTAGCTGTAAA